TTATAGGAGATTGGGTTCGTGGCTTTTAACTTTGATTAACCATAACTATTAGAAATGGGAGTTAATGGTTACAGATATGTAAGTAGTATAGTACTTGTGCAAGTATTACAAAAAGGTAAATTTTATGTAACGAATCACGCAAAAATGTAACGCAAACGTTGAACGTACCGCGTTACCTAAATGCTTCTTGCTAAATAAGCTCTCTATGACGCAGTTTGTTTCCTGGGTCACTAACTGGTTGCATTCCTACTTCTCTAACAGGATACAATACACTGTATACAAAGGCAAATCCGCCTCTGCTGTGTTCACTTAAGCTGGTATCCTCAAACATACTGTACTCTCCCCACTTCTCTTTTCTTTCTTTCTACATGACTTACCATCCTCAAATGACATTCATTTTGTCAAATATGCTGACGACCTGACTGTATCTTTGCCTGTCAAATGTCAAAGTGACTGCTCCAAACTAAATGGCCTTTTATCAGAAATCAGCCAGTGGTCCAAGAAAAACGGTCTCACCTTAAACCCCTTCAAAAGCCAAACAGTCAATTTCACCTTTAGGCATAAATCTGACCTAAACAAACTGGTTAACACTCACCTCACGAGGTGTGCAACATAGATGGCACTGAAATAGAAACCAAGTGGGAAATTTCTAAGAAGATATTCCGTCTTACCTTCTACATCAAGAAGTTTAGACATTCTGGTATAACCGAACCCTTACTCCTACAATTCGTTAACTCCAATATTCTGCCTATTATTCTCTATTGTTCCTCCTTAGTTTTTCCTGGGCTACAGAAGAAAGACTATACCTTATTACGCAGGATGTTAAAGATTGTCAGCAGGGTAAGCTACGTGCCACTTAACCAGCTTGTTAATATTCTGGTTGACAGGCACATGGACCCATGTGAAAAATGGACTAAATCCATTTTATCTAACTCACAACACCTTCTTCATTCACATTCATTATTAAAACAATATCTATGCATGCCTATACAATTGGTTTACCCTACATAGCAAGGGAAAAAAATGTACTTTATTATATTATCTTTACTAAATATGCTTATTAATATTATGTGTAAATTATCGAATTGACGATGCCTGTAAACTGGCGTCCCTCATGTAAAAAATGAGAATATATATTATAATTATTATTAACTCTACCGTCGTATCTCATCAAGCGAAACCAAAAGCCTATATAGATGACTATATGCTCGCACTAGCAAGTACAAAAACTCAACTATACCCTGCTTAGCTCGTGTTCTGTGCGATAAAGAAAGCATTTGGCGTGATACCTATAATTTATTAAATAGTCAGTAGAACATTTGGATCTCGTCTTTCCAACTCATATTATTTATAGGTACAACGTTTTATTTCTTTCTTTTCCTTTTCTCCCTTTTTCTGTTATGTGCTGCTTTGTTTATTTCTTCCTTACAAACTCTATTAAAACATTCTTTATTCTCTCACACTATGCATATCTCGACCTTTTGTCCCCACTTACGTCAGTAAATATGCTAGCATCCACTTTTCTAACACCTTTAAACACTGTTCAATTTGGGCTTTGCTACTGACATGCCAATATGTTGGAAAGAGGCTACAGTCAGTTTCTAGGTCATGATGAGTTCCTGCGTCGGTTAGTTATATGTTTTCGTGAATTCATTTTCCATTGAATCTTAAAGGTTTTTCTGGATGTTTTGCTCATTTTGTAGTGCGTAGGTCAGTTTTTGTCACTGGGTGCTACTACTTGGCTTATTTTTAGCCTGAAGTTCACAGTTATTATGTTGGTAGTCAAAGATTATTTTAAACCTGCAATCATTGAGCTAATTAACGTATACTGTGCTAATATAGTGACATAGACTATGCTAATAATAGTAACATTAAACTCCCTTGCTGTTTTGCCATTGTTTGACAGTGAACCTGTGCGCTGATTTTTCAGCATGAGTGGCACCAAATCGAATCTACTGGGTTTGCTTATCAACGTTGTTCCAGCCCTCACAGAACATATTAAGCATGGACTAGCGTTACTCCAGAGTGGAAAGTTTTGATTCAGCACGCAGCTGTCTTTTTAAGCACGACCTGTGTCATTTGGAATAGACTACCAGCTAATGTGCGCGATGCAAACACACTTCCAGTGTTCATCTCCTCAGTCATCAGACTGCTCAAAGATGACAATGCACTTTTGCGCCTGACTCTTACACCTTCTTTTTCACCCTACATAGATATTTTAAGTTCTTTAAACGTGTAGTTACAACAAACTACAATTATAAATTTAAACATTATTGGAACTAGATGATTAACATTTCTACACAGGACAGTAATAATATTAGTTTACACATAATATAAAAGTTAGCATAACGGGACTAGTTAGTTTGTGTACCAAAATAACCACAGTTACTAAACAGAATATATATGTATATATTTATTAATCACTCCTTAAGGACTCCCGCTGCTTTCTTTTGCGTTGCTGTTGTTTGTCTTCTTTTTTCTCTCACCATTTCAGCTTCCATTTGACTTTTTGAATGAGAATGAATAATGTGGATATTTGACCATTTACAATGACAAATGGTCTGCAAACATTATTGGTCCCGTATCTTTCAGTTGCCTGGTTAATAACGAATTAACTTTCTCCACGACGCAACCTGGATTACATTTGTGGATTACATTTGTGGAATATACTCTTATACCAATGGAAAAGTATCAATTTGTAATACAACTTCACGATTCTTCCTTATTACCCAATTTGGATATAAATCAAATCAAAAATGAGATTCGGATTTGTACACACCCAGGTTATATTGAGGAATTATTTCAAGCTTTATTTTTTCCCAAGTATTTTTAATCCATCCAAAACTTACTTGGGTTTTTTTGTTAATGCGAAGACAATATTCCTATATTTCATGATGTGCTCCATTGAATGACTTGTTATATTGTGGAATAACTTCAAGCTTTATTTTTTCCCAAGTATTTTTAATCCATCCAAAACTTACTTGGGTTTTTTTGTTAATGCGAAGTCAATATTCCTATATTTCATGATGTGCTCCATTGAATGACTGGTTATCATATTGTTCCCACAGACCTAAAAAATGGTATGCATTTTCATGTAAATTTATATGTTTATATGAGAATATACATTATTATAATTATTATTAAAACAAAAACGCCAGCAACCATGTAACTTAACCATAAACCGAATTTATGAAATTTAATTAATGCTTATCCATGCCTGTATATTTGGTGTGTCCTACACAAGTAGGAAAAAATGTGTACTTTATTAAAACATTATTATTAATTATGATTGCTAATCGTATATGTAATTTATCATATTGATGATGCCTGTAAACTGGCGTCTCTCATGTACAAAATGAGAATATACTATTATTATTATTATTATTATTATTATTATTTCAGAACATGGTGGGTAAATATGATCTTCAGTTACCGTAAAAAGGCATTATCGAGGAATAGGTTAGAATAAATTTAGAATTGTTTTAAGCTTGGTGGTGCTGCGGTCTAAGTGATAAATCGTATTAATCACCGTTATTCAGGATATGCTATGAACCGGAAATCCTCAGCTGAAAAACGTATGAATAAGACACAGATCGATGTAATTTATAACTGACTCCAAATTGCTTCCATCACGAAATAATCAACCAAAAGTATGCCTTAAACTGTCGCTCTCAGCCGTTTGAAGGGAAATTTACATGATTTATGCTGACCTAGTATGCACAAATCCCAAAAATAATTGAATTGACAAATTAAAAAAGTAGATTAGTTAAAACATATATTTATCTATATGTACTAATTAAGGACACATTAAATTTTTAGAAATTGTAGTTAAATTTTATTCGCCTAGTAATCAAAAATGCATACATCCTATTTTGAACTTAAAATAAATGCATCGAAATTATTGTTGATTTATATTCAGTTACTAGACATTCTCATACATATTAATGTACTTTAAACACCACCAATGCATCCAAATAACGTGTGACTATCACACTACACTCATACCAAAAAAATTAACACGCCATTATATAATGGTAAGGTATGCCTTAAATCATACTGACTGTAAATTTCCGTGTCAAAATAAAAAGATTACCGCTTTAACTTATATTTTAGACCGATAGGAAGCCAGCTAACCAACAGCCAATCAAAATCTGCCTATATCTATTTTCAATATGTTGTTGTCAAAACTAACTGAGATTACCCTTAATCTATGTAGAATTTTATTCACTGATAATGTACTAACTGGATGCAACGGTGTAGTAAAATGCTGAGAATTTGATTCTGTACCACAAGTACTGTTTTGGAATAAAGCAAATTATTATTATTAAGTTAGCGAGGATTCACGGATCAATTTTACTGTGATGGCTTTACGTGCAGACCACCTCCACGTCCGTTTACAATTTGTCATGAATTATCAATCATGTTTTTTTAATTTTTCCGTCTATATGGAATTCTTTACCTACATTCTCGCCATCAGACCATACTTCTTCCAAGAAACTTCACCACACACTGTGAAGAAACCCGTGACACTTAAAAAGACCCACATGCCACAATAGGTTAAACATTAAGCTGCTGGAAACATCTTTTGAGCTGAAAGTGTTGCATAATATTAAGAAATGAAAAAACTATTCTGCTTTTATGACTTCACCGAATGACCAACGGGAGTTAGGTCAAACTCCATTCACGGCAGCAATACAGTCCAAAACATACTGCATACTACAAACCACATCTTGACCAATCCCCGCACCACTCCTCTTGGAGCCTACCAGACCTAATGCAGTCGAGTGGTGGGACTTACTACTCAGAAGTTCACCGAAGATCTGGGATCTCTACCTCACAATCAAGAAGCGAGCTCAAAGAAATCCCTGGTTTATATTAGCTCGTAATCAGGATATTGGATATTGGATTGGATGTTGAAAGGGAGGGATGCTCAATTTAACAAGGCCGTTTTCCATCCTGCCTGTAGTATATGCGTGAGATGGATTAGCCTTGAGTAATCCATGGTTGATGAAGTTGGTGAACGTATTATCACTGTTAATCTAGGCAAGGTAAGACAATATGTTTGCTGAAAATGTTTGATTTTTTTTCACCCACTGTTCGAAAATCACCCAACCAGTGACATGATTTTTTATGTCGACTTTGGACTCACCGAAGAGTTTAATTCTCGCAGTTACCGCAGATTTGTACAGTCGGAGTCGGTATGAACGGCAATCACTGTCGTATTGAGTGTGTTGGCACAGTTGTATTGTCTTCGTATAATCAAAGGCGTCAAATTGGCGTCCTTATTATGATAAGATAGACAAATAGGGGAATAGGGTCTTAGTCCTCCCGTATAATTATTCCATCTTTTCTTATATCTATGGTTTTACAACATAGAATTTCAAAACGCAAACCAGTTATAGCTAACCAGTTGGTATGACCCAGCTAGCATTATTTTCGGGCACACAGACTAACGTGAGACTAGGACCCTAAGTAATTATAATTACTTTGCATTCATTCAACCAATATAAATGACTCATAAATACAGGTAAGTGTGCTTCCTCGCCGCTGTTGTTGACGTTCAGCCAGTATTTTACCCTAGTCTTACTGGAATTATCCCATTCCTAAATCTCTTGATGTTACTATATCCTACATCATTAATTGTTGAGGTAGCTAGAAAGAATAGATAATACACCGCAGAAATATGACACAGCTTCTAATTGGTGTCCATATTTGACAGAACGAATTAGATTGTGTACGTCAATTCATTGTGAAGAGTTATCAGTTATTGTGATTGGTACGCTGAATGTCGTTTGTCTGCGGTATCTACTCTTCATATTTGTCAATATTAGTCAGTTTAAAAGTTGTCGAATGGTCAACTGTGGTTCTAAACTACTGTTGTTATGGCTGAAAGCTTGTCACATAGGCTAAGGTAAATTCACTTCTTGTCATATTTTACATCCCGAAAAGGTTTACTGATCTTCGCACTTATGCTTGTGTATGGCATTAATATTCTTTAACTTCCCTTCTGAAGTGATGCAATTTTGTGTTTTGCCATTATTATTCATCTCTTATTCAGTCTTCGATTATTCTAACACGCGACGTATCAATAAACATCTAAAAGACGAAAGGGATGGCCTTGTTAACTATTCTTTGGGGATTTGTTGGTTTTCTAAGAGTTACGTTTCTTATTTATCTTCGTGACTTCTTGTCTTGCCTTTAAGTTCTTATGAAGGTGTTTAGTTAGTTGTAAGAGTATGTGAGGTGTATAATTTACCGCAGTTATATGTAAAATATTTCCCTAAGTTTAAACAGAGAATAACTGATTTTGGAATCGCTGTTCGCCTTCATTGATTAAAAATATTAGCTCCTGTAACCAGAATTCAGATTAATCCGTTTTTAAAATCTGGTTTACTATCTTCAGCGGATTATCGACCCCAAGTGCGGGAGATTTTTTTCAGGCAGTGTGCCTGTCGGCATAGAAGCTACAGAACATTTACAGTTCAGTGTTGATGATTCCAGTGAGTTTGACCATTTTCTTATACCTTTTAATTTTACATAACACTATAGTTCGTAATTTAATTGTGCCTGAAAAATTAATCCTGAAATTACACAAATGTATGTATTTCTAATGATATCACTTTTAGGCTTAATGCATTTTCTTCACTGAAATGCAGTTACCTTATCAACTTTAGTATTTAGTTTGCATAACTGATATCTATCGTGGAATTATTCTCTATAAGAGTGCATAAGTTATATTCCTATGTTAGTATAATTTTTTAAACTTTAGCCTTTAGTACTGTACCCTAAATACTAATCCCTTTCAATGACACTACTGAATCTTTTGTCAATAACTCTAAATTTGAATTTCTAATTCCTAAATCCCAATCTTATGTCTCTAATCCTAACTGTACCAAGGCAGTACTGTTAAAAAATCGAGTTTTCTTCTATGTTACCGAAATTACAAGATGACACCTTTGTCTGTAGCTAAAAGCACTTCTTGCCAACTGGTCTAAATGCATTATCGGTGTAATTAAACACTAATTTTTTAGCATCAAGAAAACATGTTGAATAAATTATTGGCCTAATAGAAGCATAGCTGTATAGTTACCAGTCATATTTTTATGCATTACCATTAAAAACTTTCTGTTACAAAACACATTCTTTTCTAACAGTTTATTATAGCATGCCGATAACAAACTCAGCTGTAATAACTGCTCTAACAGACAAATTCTTTTCACCGATATCCTGTTATCATCATCATGAAACTAATGTTCATCCCTGCAGGCCTAAAATTAAACATTTCAAAGGTACTTTCGTTTTCAAGTTAACTTGATTTAAATATACATGTATTTGTTCTAGCTGTTAATTCATCTATTCCTTATAGTTCAAACACAGTACAATTGTTACAGCCAACTTGTTGTCATATCCTTCTTTCAGGGGATCGTTTTAAATCTGTTAGTGTGTAAGTTATTCTGATTAAACAGTTATATCGTCTAATGATAGGTAACACTGCCAAAGTTATGTTTTGATTTTCTTAACTAATTTTGGTCAACAAAATATATTGCACAGACATTTTCGAAATTTAATTTAATTAATAAAAAACCTAATTTCAATAAAAGACTATTGCAGTAATATGGTGATGAATAATTTGCAAGCGTAAATATGAACTGCTATTTTACTTCAGCCGATAAACTTTGGGCCACCCGTCGCTTTATGTAGCATAGGAGATAAACGATTCGAGTACTAATTAGGCTTGCACTTAACAGCAGCCATTAAAAGTAAACACTATAATGTTCAGTTAAAAAACTGCAACTAAAGAGACTTCTTTCAATAATTGAAAGGTATTTCCTTCTGGTATATTGTCGGAGAACTGATCTGTCATAATACTTGCTGAAAAAATATCATCACTTTAAATAGGATTGTTTTGAATGAATTAGAATTTATGGCAAATTTTTGTCGTATAAAATGTAGTGCGGTAGTAACTATATCTTGATTTGCAACTGAGTGTGGATTAATTTTTTTGTTTATGTCACTCTAAAAACATCTACAACCAAAGTAAATTGGTGACGGCTAAAGTTGAGAAGACATTTGAGTCCTGACAAGAGGTGGATGCTTTCATTCTGGCTACTCTCTGGGTTTCCTTTTTATTTCACCTATTATCTTTCCAGATTAAGATCGTGTATCCAAACAGAACCTTCACAGATAGTTTTTATAGTATCCCATTCTCATTAACTAAATTATTCAATAGAAGTACAACACCTACTAGGATAGTTAATTACAATAGTTGCCTTGTGTACACCTAAGTTTATTCACATAAAGAATCTGTGTCACAAAAAGTTTATGAATTAAGTCCAGTAAAATAAAGTATAATAAATCTTACTGACCTACAAATTTTTATGGTTTCTTCTCTGCTTAAGAGATCACTTGGGATGTTTAGACCAAGGAATTTTAGATGGTTCACACCAAACGGCTAATCTGAGCCAACCATTTATATCTTGTGAGCACCTGAATTCTATACTTCCAGACAAAGACATTCCGACTGGATCACGTTCAGCTGGCGACGGCCAAACAGACGATGAAGAATTAGATGGTGCAAATTGTTCAGTTTATCCAGAAACTATTCAATCTAAAAACTATCCAGTCAGTACAAATTTATCAAGTGAAGTGAAATGTCATTTAGGTGGGTAATGATAGTATATGTGGATTTTTCCATGCATGAAGGTGTTTATATATATATATATGTAGGGCGAGAGAGAGACTCATTATATGCAGGATCATTGTTGTTTATTTCGTTATTCGGCAAATCTATCCTTTACATAGTTTTTAATCATTTTATTGAGTTAAAAATTATAACTTCATTACACTATGCTTGTATGTTTTTAAATAAAAGCAACCATTCTTATAACTGTTATGCTTACGTTGTTTTTCAATCATTAACAACCTTTTCACATTCATGATACCTATAAACTTTGCACTTAAAAGGTAAGCTACTTTCTTTAAAACTGTCAGTTTATGATATACGCTCAACTCCTGTTTTTCTTCGTTGCTTTATTAACAAGTAGTTTTTCTAAAGTTGATTTTCATCCTCAACCTTCATCAGTTAGAAAAGCACTGGCTGATTTTTTGTCAACTTGTAACTTTTCTACTAAGTTCATTCATCAGCTCGGAAGAAATCACGCCTAATGTATGAACTGATGGCTTTGTTATGTTACCAGTGACTACATAAGAAATCTTAAGATCGGGCTATACGTCATAGGGTGATTTTTATCGGAAAAAAAATCCATGAATTAGATGAAATATGCTTCTTGGGTGTTAATAAAAACTTGCGATTGTGTTCAGTAGACTAAGTGCCGCATTAGTGAAAACATTAGTTAATGCAAATGCTAGGTGTACAAGGTATATATAGCTTGCCTATACCAGAAAGTAAACCGTAAAATCCCAACTTGTGTCTTTTTCTGCTGTTGGTGAGGTGTCTTTACCTCTGTTCAAGTACATAAATGTGCCACATCAATGTCTTCAGTTCTGCTATGCAAACAACTAAATTTGACTTGATGATATTAAAATATGAAAAACACATGATAGGCTTTCAATTATCGGTATTTTCCAGTATGTGCTCAATTATATTGACTGCTAAATAGCCCTAAGGCTTAGACTGTTATCCGTAGTTTCTACGATTCCTAATGTATTGTGGGAGATGAAGCATGACAGGGGCATACATAATCACTCAGTATTTCTAGGTATTTCTAGTAACTTAATTTTCTGAAGCGACACATCGATAAGTATGATTATCCAAAGCCAGTACTAGAAGAATCTCCGCAGGAATCTCATTCGCCCTAATTCAAAGACATTAAAATGTCATACATTAAATCACATAGACTCTATCCGCTCACGCCTACCCGAGCTTGAACAAAAGATCACAAAGAATCCATGTTTTATATAAAGTATCTGGTGATGAACAACAAACGTTTCAAGACTATGTATGCAATGTCATACGATAAAGTTGCAACAATACTACTTCGTGACTAACAAAAAGCCTGAAACCATCTGAAACTGTCCCGTTGTTTCCACAGAATCCTGTAAAATTGTCTTTAACTTTTCCAATTTTCCTATTCAAATCCAAGTCCTATCAGTTGACCCGAAATTTTGCAATGTATCGAGTAAAATCAACGAATTACAAACTAAAGTCCAGTTCGAGAATTTGATCTCACAGACATTTGACTCGTCGTCTGCTTCTGAAAGAGATCTCGAACAGTTCAAAGCTTCAGTTTCTCAACAGCTGCTACAAGTACATTCGTACATAACCGAGCCATCGTTATCTGCTGAACAAGGAACACAGAAAACAACTTCAAGAAAATAAAGACATAATCCTTGCCCGTCGTGATAAAGGCAATAGGATTATGGTGATGAACAGATCCAACTATATTGAGATATTAACAAATATACTATCAGACAACACTAAATTCTCCAAAGAACAGAAAACCTGCCCACAAAATTGTTGAAGAAAATGAAAGAAGATTCAGTCATGAAATTGGAAGTATATGAGCAAAAAGCCATGCTGTTCAATTACTCAAAGACTATATAGATTGCCTAAAGTGCATAAAAAGAATGTTTCACTTCTACTTATCATAGACATGGTCATCTCAACATATCATCAGATCGCTAAGTGTTTAGAAGATATCCTTGAACAGCTAAGAAGACATATGACAAAGTATAGTCTTAGTGATACATTTGGCTTCATCCATGCAGTGAAAGATATCAACGTGTTTGAAAGACAAATGCTTTCACTAGATTTCACCGCTCTATTCACAGGCATCCCACTAACCGAGGCAATATGCTTCATCTGTGACTGAATCAAAACTAACTACCTAGAAGTTCCTCTTCCTATCAACTACTTAAAGGAACTACTTTTCAGATGCGCGTTTAATATCCAGTTCAAATTCAATGAACAATTTTATGTAGAGAAAAATGGTGTAGGTGTGAAGTCGCCTCTCGGTCCACTCTTAGCTGACTGCTTCATGGCGAGTTTCGAAAACAACATCGTCGATCCATAAATCAGTCAACTGTATTTATATAGGAGATACGTAGATGATACGTTTATAATCTGTGGTGAAAAAGTTGATGTATAGTATTTGCTCAAAAACTTTAACGCAGTACACCCATCAATAAAATTCGCCTTAGAACGTGAATCTAACATGTCATTTCCATTCTTCAATGTACAATGTAAGACTGCACGATGCAAAAATCAATATTTCACAAGCCAACATGGACGAAACAGTTAATCAACTTCCAAAGCTTCTTCCCACTGGTCCGAAAGCAAAGCCTAGTACGCACATTATGTTCAAGGATTAGAAAAATCTGTTCGGAAGGAACGATAGAGAATGAGTTATACCTTACTTGAGATTTATAGATAAAAAATGAAGGGAAAGTCTCCGTCGCCAAAAATCGCAACTGTTCCTGAGAAAACCCTCTTCATGAACCTGGGATTCAAATGTGATATCGAAGCAGAAATTCTCAGAAACCACCTTTCTGAACGTCTGAAGAAGACATTTCAAGCAACCATCTTACGCATTACGTTCTCCAGCAAACAATTCAGTTCAACGTTAAGGATAAGATACCGCTTTTGGCCAAGTTAGTGTGTATTTATCAGTTTACTTGTTCGTGCGGAGCAAAGTATATTGGCCGTACGCAACGTCAAGTCCGCAAACGTATTCTGAAACAATGTCCAAAGGAGAAAAGAAGAATAGCAGCAGTTCCATCCTTGAATACCCTGTCAACTATGGACATCGTGCACCCCGGCATGAATGCTTCACAAAGTCCTTCAATATCTTTCGAAAGGACTTCAAGTACTAAATCTGTACATAGTTGAATCATTGGCTATTCGGGAACTGAAATCAGACCTCTACATTCAAAAGCACCTCATGCATTCCCTCACCCTACCGTTACCAGAGTATCATTCTCACTATGATTTTGCCTCCTTAGATATCTTGGATGCAAACAGGACAGTAACTCATGGTGAATTGTCTGTTAATTGTATCGATGTGTCTGAGGTTAAGCCTGACATGACTGATGTTACTGTTTCACCGTCCAGTGACAAAAGGAACATCAAACTCCCTAAATTTGAACCACGGTGTTTTGACGGAAACCCAGCTTACTATTTTAGGTTTGTAAAAGAGTTTGAGATCATGCTGACTAGTTTTTCATTAGGTGATGAATTGACATTGATTTATTTAATGAGGTACTTCACTGGAGTTGCTTTAAGAGCTATATAGTGCTGTAAGCTCATGCCCCCTAATGAGAAATACGCTGAGGCTATGAGCATACTACGTCAAAGGTTTGGAAGACCTTCGACGATTGTAGGGAAATTACTCGAGGCTGTTAAGGGTAATGGCAGTCAATTACAGGATGACTCCCAGGCGCTCTCTGAGTTTATAGATAATCTTATGACTTATAAGAATACCTTGATTTCGATGAATTGCATGAGTGACCTCAACTCGAGTTTTATACTAGAAGTAATAGCAAGACGCCTACCTACTCGACTGCAAAAGAAGTGGGTGAAGATAAGCTCCCGTATGGAGGATGAGGGTGTCGAGCCAAAGTTTGATGATATCCTGAAACTGGTAAAAGATAGTGTCAATCAATCTACGAGCAAGTTTGCCAGTATATTGAATCTCATCCCTAGAATAGAGCAGTCTGAGGGTAAAACGCACTCATTGATGACGAAAGGGCCTCAGAGAGGTGGATATCGAGAAGGCTCTATGATGTGTGGTAATGCATATAGACCTAGTGAGTGTAACAGGTTTCGTAGTACATCCTCAACAGATAAGTTACAAGATGCAAGACAAACACGGTTGTGTTGTACACGTTTGCAAGAGGTGCATACAAAGGTGAACTGTGAACCAGTGAGCAAGTTCAGTGATAAGCTAAATGTGAAATCCAGGTCTGACTCCGAATTGTGTGACGATAACGGTGAGGTCAAGAAGTCTGTAGTTGCGAGTGGTAAGCCATTGTATAATGGAGTGTCACAGAGGAGAGTTAAGGTCTCAGAGTGCAGTTCTTACTCCACAAGTTTACAAGGTAATAATTTTCAGAGTGAAGATATAGAAACTTTAATGATTTGTGAGGAGGAACCAAAATTGTCTACTTCTGCTATTAAAGAGTTTGAAAATGATGAAACGGACGGTAAAGTGAATAATAATAATAATAGTATATTCTCATTTTGTACATGAGGGATGCCAGTTTACAGGCATCATCAATATGATAAATTACATATACGGTTAGCAATCATACTTAATAATAATGTTTTAATAAAATACATATTGTTTCTTCCTGCCTGTGTAGGACACACCAAATGTACAGGCATGGATAAGCATTATTTAAATTTCATAGATTTGGTTTATGGTTAAATTTTATGGTTGCTGTCGTTTTTGTCTTTGGTTTGTGGGAACCATATGATAACTAGTCATTCAATGGAGCACATCATGAAATATAGGAATATTGTCCTCACATTAACAAAAAAGCCCAAGTATGTTTTGGATGGATTACAAATACTTGGGAAAAAATAAAGCTTGAAGTAATTCCCCAATATAACTTAGGTGTGTACAAGCCTAAGTCTCATTTTTGATTTATATCCGAATTGGGTAATAAGAAAGCTATTTTTACAGATGCGATCAGTTATGTTATAAGTTACA